CCCATGTAACATTATATCTAAAACCAAAATTTGAATTAACATAACATCAATATAATATTTCAATATTTGATTATAAGTAATGATAACTTTTTATTTCCTGAGGTATTCGGTGATTGAACAACATTCTCCTTAACTCCATGTTGGTCTTTAATTTCAGATACATGTATACTAGGTTTGATTATTCTTTTATGTTGTACAGACTTTAAAATGCTTTTAGTTATATTTTGAGGAGATTGTAGAGGTGTAACACAATTATTGATGGTTTGGCTATCAGGTTGAACTACACCAGACACATTTTTAATTGTAGTACTATCGCATGTATTAATTAGTTCAAGAATTTCAGTTGGTGATCTGATTACTTTCACTCCTTTTTCTAAAATGTGAATAGGTTAAGATTATAAAAATAATAAATGTGAATACTAAAACACAAAAAAATATGTTTTAAACATAAATTTAATTTTTATACTTATTATAGGTACACAAATCAATATATTTTTGTTATAATAATAAAAGTAATAGATCGATTTCAAATTTAGGTACTTACTTAGATACTTTGCTTTAAAATAAAAATAATAAAGTATAAACTAGATAATAGAATAGATTAATATCTAGTACTTATTAGTACCTAAATACCTATTATTTTGTTTTATTAATTAGTTTTAAAACTAAAACAGCAACAAAAGAACCTAATTTAAATTCAATTAAACAAAGTACCTAGAATCTAGATATTATAAACGATGGCAGATAGAAAAACATTAAGGTTCTCTTTAATATATTTTAAAATGATTATTGATGAATAATTTACAGAAAAAGTTTTCAAAACTTCAAATGAAAGGAAAGTATTAAAAAAGTGTATTGATAGAACCTGAAATTAGTTAAAATTTATATCAAACTTATGTATTAACAGTAGTTTGATACTATTAAAATTAAAACATCTTAAGGTATAATAATAATAATAAAATAAAATACCAAAACTAAGACTTACCAATATCCTCTTTAGGAACAAGTGGAAACTGTTGAGACGGTGCACGACTTTTTCTCATGATAATTTAAATACAGTATTTGTATTAAAACACTATCCAACAGTGTAGTTAAGATTTTCAAAAAGAATAGTTTTCAATGTTCGAATTAAATAATTATAACGTATACGTTAATGATTTATAATTCAAAATTACTCGTCTAGTAATAACTAATAACATCTAGTAATTCAGTACTAGTGTAGTAGTGTATTAGACACTCCAGTGCCCAGTCTTTGCCGTCTTTGGTAGCCGACAGCCGTTATTAATTATAGACTTTCAGACTTTCAAAAACCATGGCGTTATCAACGTAGAGAATAGTAGATTGTACATAAGCATATGAAATTTATCATATATATAATATATATACATGTCCATGTTATCAGTTATCACTTATTCGACTTGTTTGAGCATATTATACTTATTATCACAATTATTTAAAAATTAACCCAAGTCCCAAAATTACAAAAACATCATTTGCTGCCACCTGCTTTTAAAATATTTAATAGATTCTTGTTATATTATAATTAATATAGTAATGTTATATTGTTATAATTTATAAATAAATCTCAGCATAATAATACGATATAAAATAAGACGTTATTTAATTTTAAACTATGCTATATTGAATTATCTAGAAGTGTTTTAATTTTTTATTAATAATTTTCGTTTATTTTATCTTGGTAAACATAGGATTTGGTAATTAATAACAGGCACATTTACAAAAAAATAGTTAACATTGTATTTTAAGTTACACGATTGTGAATTATTTTATTATCAGAAAAATGTAAAAATATTTTAAATAAACAAATATCTACCAATAGAAGAAAGTTACTTCCAATTATGCGTGTGTGTCAATATTATTTTATTGATCAGCAGTTGACCGTAATGTAGATTTTATATTTAATATATAGGTGTCATGTAACATACTTATAAACTATAGTATTGTTACAGTATGATATATTATATACGAAATAGCTATATCTAAAAAAATGATTTGATATAAACTATGTTTAATCAAATATAATAACCAAAAATTATTCGTATAACTGTCTATGAAGTTTAGTCGAATAATTTTTTATTCGAATACCATAGTTGAAAATCATTCGAATAATTATCTAGATAAAATTTTTTCAACACTGTTACAGGGGGGGGGGGGCCTGATGCTTCGTTCAGTTGTGTGCTCACTATCCAGCCAGTGTGGTTAGATTTCAAAGAATAGTTTTCAATGTTCGAATTAAATAATTACATTAACGTATACGTTAATGATTTATTCAAAATTACTCGTCTAGTAATAACCGTAACATCTAGTAATTCAGTACTAGTGTAGTAGTGTATTAGACCTCCAGTGCCAGTCTTTGCCGATCCCTTGACCGACAGCCGTTATTATCATGCAGACTTTCAGACTTCAAAACCATACACGTTATCAACGTGAGAGATAGATGTAGATTGCATAGCATAGAAATTTATCTTATATATAATATATATACATGTCCATGTTATCAGTTATCTACTTGTATTCGACTTGTTTGGGCATATTATATTTATTACCTTATTTAAAATTAACTCAAGTCCAAAATTACAAAAACATCATTTGCTGCACCTGCTTTTAAAATATTTAATAAGATTCTTGTTATCATTATAATTAATCAAGTAATGTTATATTTTATAATTTATAAATAATCTCAGCATAATAATACGTATAAATAAGACGTTATTAATTTAAACTATGCTTATATTGAATTATCTAGAAATGTTTAATTTTTATTAATTTTTCGTTTATTTATCATTTGGTAAACATAAGGTTTGATTAAATTAATAACAGGCAATTACAAAAATAGTTAACATTAGCATATTTAAGTTACACGATTGTGAATTGATCATTATCAGAAAATGTAAAAATATTTAAATAAACAATCTACCAAGAAGAGTTCTATTATGCGTGTGTAATATTATTATGTATTGATCAGCAGTTGACCAGTAGATTGGTATATTATATAGGTGTCATGTAACATCTTATAAACTATAGTATTATTGTTACAGTATGATATATATATACGAAATAGCTATATCT